CTTTTTCTTCATAACCTCTGCAATTCGCTCTGGCATGCTGGATATTAGCTTCTGGGCCAAATCCTGACTGATGGCGATCCATTCTTGCTTTATTAGTTCTCGGAGTTGATCACAATTTGTGGGATTCTGCTTGTCCAGTCGCCTTTTGAGAACTGACCACAGGTTCACTATGGGATTGCGATCCGGGGAGTTGCCTGGCCACGGATCCAAATTTCAATGTAATGATGGAAAATGCACGGATCATCACCAAATTGCTCATTGGTCGTTGGAAGAAGTCCCTCTTGCAGGACGTTTTGATACCATTCTTTATTCATGGCAGTGTTTTTGGGCAGAATTATGAGAGAACCCACTCCCTTGGTTGAAAAGCATGGATGGTCTCAGGATACTCCTTGTACTTCTTGCAGAATTTCAGTCTTCTTTGCAGCAAAGTAATTCTGCAGGAAGTACAAGGATTGGACTGCAGAAGACTGTTGCAAAGTTATTTTCTCTGATGAAGCGCCCTTCCGACTATTTGGGACATCTGGAAAATCGATTGTTCGGAGAAGAAAAGGTGAACGCTACCATGAGTCCTGTGTTGTGAAGTACAAGAGACCTTTGAGCAAGGCACCGGACCTCCAACTGCTTCCCGGGTGCCGCAGAAAAAATGGCTGCCCACTGCTCTGGGTGTGTGTGTGTGTGCGTGTGTTTTGGTCACTACCCCGGTAGAAATTTTACGTTCCCAGAACGTCCTCAGAACGTCGCCGCTGGTGTCAAGGACGTTGCCTAGTAACGTCCCCAGAACGTTCTGAGACGGTCACGATGTCGAGTTCTTTAAAGGGTTGGGGAACGTTATTTGGAGGACCATCACAGAACATTCAGGATGTTCTCGGGACGTTTAGGGGACCATATCTTACTTGGAAATCTGACATTCCCAAAACGTTCTCAGAACGTCGCCGCTGGTGTCAAGGACGTTGCCTAGTAACGTCCCCAGAACGTTCTGTCAAGGACGTTGCCTAGTTACGTCCCCAGAACGTTCTGAGACGGTCACGATGTCGAGTTCTTTAAAGGGTTGGGGAACGTTATTTGGAGGACCATCACAGAACATTCAGGATGTTCTCGGGACGTTTAGGGGACCATATCTTACTTGGAAATCTGACATTCCCAAAACGTTCTCAGAACGTCGCCGCTGGTGTCAAGGACGTTGCCTAGTAACGGGGATGTTAAACGTTATTTGGAGGACCTTCACAGAACATTCAGGACGTTCTCGGGACGTTTAGGGGACCACTTGGAAATCTGACGTTCCCAAAACGTTCTCAGAACGTCACCGCTGGTGTCAAGGACGTTGCCTAGTAACGTCCCCAGAACGTTCTGAGACGGTCACGATGTCGAGTTCTTTAAAGGGTTGGGGAACGTTATTTGGAGGACCTTCACAGAACATTCAGGTTGGTTGATTGGAATGTTGTTCCAGGATCAACAAGGATGTTGATCCAGGAACATGTTGTACTTGGTGAAATCACGCTCACCATGAAATGAGTGCTTTCAATGTTTCCAAATTGGTCAGGAAGATATGTTGCAGCACAGTCCCGAATGAAATGTCCACATCTGACTAACAGGGAACTGTAAGGGAACGTTCTGTTAACGTCCCAAATGTCCTCTTTGTAACGTTGCTTTGTGACCATAGAATAACCAATCCTAAAGTCATATGAGGAACGTTATTATATGACTAAATGAGGACCATGTGAGAACGTTCTGTTAACGTCCCAAATGTCCTCTTTGTAACGTTGCTACTGTATGTGACCATAGAATAACCAATATAGAACATCCTCCTAAAGTCATATCTGGAACGTTATTATATGTTTAAAAGAGGACCATATGGGAACGTTCTGTTAACGTCACAAACGTCCTCTTTGTAACGTTGCTACTGTATGTGACCATAGAATAACCAATACAGAATATCCTCCTAAAGTCATATCTGGAACGTTATTATATAACTAAAAGAGGACCATATGGGAACGCTCTCTTAACGTCGCAAACGTCCTCTTTGTAACGTTCTGTTAACGTCCCAAATGTCCTCTTTGTAATGTTGTTATGTGACCATAGAATTACCAATATAGAACGTCCTCCTAAAGTCATATTGTGAACATTATTATATGACTAAAAGAGGACCATGTCAGAACGTTCTGTTAACGTCCCAAATGTCCTCTTTGTAACGTTGCTATGTGACCATAGAATAACCAATATAGAACGTCCTCCTAAAGTCATATGCGGAACGTTATTATATGACTAAAAGAGGACCATGTGAGAACGTTCTGTTAACGTCCCAAATGTCCTCTTTGTAACGTTGCTATGTGACCATAGAATAATACAGAACGTCCTCCTAAAGTCATATCTGGAACGTTATTATATGTTTAAAAGAGGACCATATGGGAACGTTCTGTTAACATCCCAAACGTCCTCTTTGTAACGTTGCTATGTGACCATAGAATAATACAGAACGTCCTCCTAAAGTCATATCTGGAACGTTATTATATGTTTAAAAGAGGACCATATGGGAACGTTCTGTTAACATCCCAAACGTCCTCTTTGTAACGTTGCTATGTGACCATAGAATAATACAGAACGTCCTCCTAAAGTCATATCTGGAACGTTATTATATGTTTAAAAGAGGACCATATGGGAACGTTCTGTTAACATCCCAAACGTCCTCTTTGTAACGTTGCTACTGTATGTGACCATAGAATAACCAATATAGAACGTCCTCCTAAAGTCATATGCGGAACGTTATTATATGACTAAAGAGGACCATGTGAGAACGCTCTGTTAACGTCCAAAATGTCCTCTTTGTAACGTTCTTATATGACCAAAAAATAACCAAAATGGAACGTCCTCCTAAAGTCATATGTGGAACGTTATTATATGACTAAAAGAGGACCATGTCAGAACGTTCTGTTAACGTCCCAAATGTTCTCTTTCTAACGTTCTTATGTGACCAAAATGTAACCAAAATGGAACATCCCCCTAAAGTCACATAAGGAACATTGAGCACCAGCACTTTCATAACCAAAAGAGGACGTTTTAGGAACGTCCCTAATGTTCTGTAAAGGTTCGGGACTTTTGTCACCTTTAGAGAACTTTTAGAGAACGTTGCGCAAGGTTGCGAGAACGTCTCCTCCTACGTGGGTACTCATTGCTGTGTGTGTGCACTTGGATGGGTGAAATGCAGAGCACAAATTCCGAGAATGTGCTGGAAACATCCTTTTCTTTTGCCCTTTCCTTAAAGATAAAGCGTATGCCATTTTCCTCACTTCATGCATTTCAGGGTCAACTTTCCCGCCCACTTATGTGATGTCACACCAGTGAGGGCATTACATTTTGATTATGTGGTCTCACAGCTAGGGCTCAGCAAAAATGTTTTTATTTTCACTCATTAGGTGAGAAAATCTCTGTTAAACTGTCCCATTTGACCTTATGTCCCAATCACCCTTAATTCGTCGTATGTTTTATCGCGTTTTGAGGAGATAACGAGAAGATGCTGGATATGGCAAATCTATTCATAATGTCACTGATTAACTGCCTATCACTCAATAAAATATTTCTGAGATATTTGAATGTTTTGTATTTTGTTTGGTTTAATAACATATTGTATAAGGTTTCAAACATTTAAATAGACATATCAAATAATGGAAAACAAAACATTGATATTATGCTTGGTAAGCTCTGATTTCAGAGACACACACACAAAGACGGCTACAAGGCTATTTCATTAGTGCTCAATTCATTCACAGAAGTAACACTCATTCACTTCACTCACTCATTACTGCGTAGTGAGGCAGGGGCGGACTTAGTGATTTGGGGACCCTAAGCAAATTTCAGGTATGGGGCCTCAACACACCAAATGTGTGTGTGTGTGTGTGTGCGTGTTTTTGTGACAAATGAGGACATAAATTTGTATAATGACAAAGGTATGACATAGGTATTACAAGGAGAAGGTGACTTTTCAGGACATTACCCCATGTCCCCACTTTTCAAAACGCTTATAAATCACACAGAATGGAGTGTATTGAAAATCTGAAATAGCACAAAGTTTCCTGTAAGGGGTAGGTTTAGGGGTAGGGTTGGTGTAGGGCAATAGAATATACGGTCTGTACAGTATAAAAACCATTACGCCTATGGGATGGCCCCACTTTTCACAAAAACAAACCTGTGTGTGTGTGTGTGTGTGTGTGTGTGTGTTTTTGTCTCTCTGTCTGTCTCTCTCAAGAGTTTGGAGTTTATTTACCCCATCACAATTTGTCTATGAGATCCAGTTTTCAACCTAATGTTGTTCTAAAGCCGTATTCACAAAAAAGAAATCGTAAATGAATGAATGCATTAATGAATGAACGAATGAATGAAAATAAATAAATAAATATTCAAGCTTGCAGGTGTCCATTTAATGGCAGTGACTTGTGACAATCTTTATAAAAAAGCAACATGTCATTCCAATTGTTCTGAATGCATATATCAAAGAGTGTTACGATTCAGTTGTCATAGGCCTACTTTTATATTATGAAAGGTAAACTAAATGGTGTCATATAGAGTTTGATCCCTGTGGAAGAGAAAAATTCAAATGCCACTGTACACCATTAAAAAAATGTAAAGAGACGTAAAGTACCAAAAGTAGCCATATACAGTAAAATTTCGCCCTCAAAAATTACTTCCTTGGTGCAGCCTATTGTTGATTTAGTTAAATTAATTTATATTTTTGAAACATGTTAATTTAAATGTCACCACATTCAATTTTTAGGTTACATGACAAACAATTTACAGTGTGCACTATACAATGCAGAGATAGAAAATAATTAATGGTTAATCATTACGTTTGTGTCGTTCCCTCAGTGAATATGAATGCATAAAGAAACGCACGTCCACGATTATAATAATTTACATTGAACAATACTAGTGAGCATCCGACCGGACACTGCATGTGCCCAGTGAAAGCACTGGAGAGTACATTCTGTTAAAAAGAAATGGCGTGGGAAAACACACTGAGGGCGGGCTGAATCTGTAGGCTAGTCGTCTCTCTTTCGTTGTCTGCACTCATTAGATCTCGTCGCAGAGTTTTGAGAGCTTCAAGTAGAGCGTGACTTGAGACAATAATAACATCATGCGAAGGCAATAGCGAAACTAACAAAAGATAATGACAGAGAGAAAATACGCAGGTCCAGTTCTCTGGCGAGGAAACGGCACAATGGATTAATGCTTTAATGTAGTGAATTTTCACACGTGGACATTTATTATTATTGTTTATTTTGTTAAATACAAGCGCGTGCTGAACGGAGCGGGTACGAGGGGTTGAATGCAGCCGCGCGAAGCGAACTGTCTACCGTGTCTACAGTAAGTACACACTGCTCGCACACAAGTTTTTGGCTGTAAATTTTTGTGTATGCCATATGCCAATACTTTATTCAGAAATTTGTTTGCTCTTTGTCTTTTTTTTTAAATGAAGGACTAGGTTTCCGTTTTTATCCTAATGTGTAATTGTACATTTGTGGAGTTCCATGTAGCATACTTTCACATTGTCATTGTAATTGACTGTTTGGGTAATCGATCTAGGCTATGTAGCGTTTCAGTTATGTTGAGGACGCGCAGTCTATTTGAGATACTTTCTTCCTTATAGGTTAATCAGTCAAAGGAACTGGTTGTCAAATGCCACTTCTCGAAAATGAAAGAAATCAAAGAGAACATGTTCAGCGGTACGCAGATAACTGCCTACTTTAATTGCTTTATTGTGGAATGCAGGGCATCTGTCTCTACATCTGTTCTAGTCATCACACTACCACCATTTATTGATAAATATATAGAATAAATGATTTGCAAACCATCTAATAAGAAAAAAAAACTGAATAAAAAACTGAAAAATGTATTGCTCTGTTCATTATTTTTTTTTATACAGATTATGTTTTATGCAGTCCTTTTGCAGAGATGTGAGTACAACCTGTATTTGGTGTCTCACACAAGAGTTGAGGATGACTGGCCAGATGCTGGCAGATTGTACTTGGCAAGAGTGCTGATATAGGTTTAGTATTCTACCCTGGTAGACCATTGGAGAAGTTGACTGGGTGCAAAAAAAGAAAGAAGTGAAATTTGGAAAAAGAAGAACAATACTTCAGAACATACAACCAGTATGACAATATAATAATCTCAATCAGCAACATTGTCCCCCTTTTTACATCTATTCACTGTTTATTTTTTCCTCATGTGATGAGCACTTGTTTTGTTCCTCTGCATACTACCCATCAAAATGTGCCCTTATTCTGTCTCCATTTGTTAATTTTCCTTTTGGCAACGATCGTTCACATGCAAACCTTCTGTTCGGATTGAAAAAATGTTTCTCCTTCTTCTTTTTTCTTGGCAGTTTTACTTAAGTGTGTTTAAAAGCTTTGCTGATTTAAAATTCTCCTCCACAGTGGATTGCCTTTGCTGGCGTAGGCATTTGTTTCTTTCAGTGGTATTGGGAACATGCCAAGTATGAAGGACTAAGAGACAGCAGGTGAAATTATTTATATCCTTTAATTTGTGATGGTGGAAGCCTAATGGTTAAGGATCTCAGCTTCAAAACAGAAAGCTTGCAGATTAAATCCCATTGTCATGCACACACAGAAGAGGAGACTCACAGAAACATTCAAGATGTTTGACGATTGGAAACAGGTAAGTATGTTGAGTAACTTAAATCAGAAACAGTGTGCTTATCTCTTGCAGGTTAGTGCTGGAAGCGGTCCACAGAGGAAGAAGACAGACGTGATGATATTCCACAAAGGATAACAGGTAAGCAGTCAGGCAGGCAATGAAGGTAGACATTGACGAGACCAGACAGAGAATGACTGTGAAGTGCGGGTATTTGAGGGCTGGTTTAACAGGTGCTGATGATCAGTACTCCGGTGTTTGAGATTGGGGAGGTGTGGTGATGGAGTCTGGTGCTGAGTGGTTGACAGATTCTGTGACAGTACCCCCTCCTGCATGTGTGGCTCCCGAAGACCAAGGTGGACGACGACGGGGACAACCTCTTTCTCTGGGTGCAGGGCGACTTGAGTGATTGTTATGGAACTCGGTGAGTAAAGCTGGGTCCAGGATATTGTCCCGAGGCACCCAGGAGCATTCCTCTGGTCTGTGCCCCTCCCAATCCACTAGATATTCCAACTCTCCACCCCGTCTCCGGGAGTCCATAATGGTGTTGGACCTTGTAGATGGGTGCTTCATCAGACTCAAAGGGAGGAGTAGGCAGAAGGCATCCTTAAGTTGTTGGAAGGCTTCAATAGCTGTAGGGTACCAGGATAGAGACTTTGGCCAGCTCTTCAGAATTGAAGTGAGGGGTTATGATACGTTGCTATAATTGGCAATGAATCATCTGTAGAAATTGGCAAAACCAAGGAATCTATATAGTTCCTTCACTGTAGAGGGTTGTGGCCAGTCACGGATGGCTTGCACATTCCCCTGGTCCATCTCGACACCTTGAGCGCTGAAAATGCAGATGATATTGGTATATCACAAGCTTTAAAGTTAAAAGACAGAAACTGACAAAAAGATGGAAATGGAGGCACTTGCTTTGGAAACTTGGGCACAAAATAACAACATGATTCTAAATGGAGACAAATTTGTCGAAATAAGGATATGTTTTGCAAAAAATCCAACACAACCACCACCACTCACACTGGGAGGTCAGGAGGTTCCTGTTGTATTACAGTCAAAATACCTAGGGTATCTTCTTGACAGTCAACTAAATGGAAATTATCATATTGACGAGTGTGTAAAAAAGGCATCTCAGTGTCTTCACTTTTTGACAGTGTTTGCGAAACATGGAGCTTCTGCTGATGATTTAGTCAGTATGTTTTGCTCCCTGAAAAGACCTTGTCTAGAGTATGCAAATGTGCTGTTAGTTGGTTGTACAAAAAAGCAAGCAACTTTACTGGAAAGCATGCAGAAGAGAACACAACAAATTATTGAGAGATTTACTAACACATCAATACATCTACCTGATTTACAAGGTCGGAGAGAGCAAGATACCATCAAATTAATAGAATGATCATCCACTTCATGATCTTTTTCCACCAACCAGGGGTGAAAAAAATGGTCGGCTTCTTAGGAAGCAAAGTAATTTGACATTATTCAAAGCAAGGACAAATTGTTATGCTAGTTCTACCATTCCTTTTGGTATTAGATTGTTTAATGAATATAATGTGGATGTTTAGGGTCCTTTTTGCAGTTGCACTTGTATGTTTTATTAATTTGTCTTGTATGTTTTATTAATTTTTATTTTTATTGTATGTGTGTGTGTAAATGGATGTATATTTTGTGTATGTATGGATGGTCACCGTGATTTTGCCAAGAAAGACGTGTTCCTAGATCATCATCTTTTGTTGATCCTGGATCAACATTACTGTCCATAAATATAGACTAAACCCAATCCCTACCCCTAACATCTTTTGTTGATCCTGGATCAACATTACTGTCCAAAAATATAGACTAAACCCAATCCCTACCCCTAAACCTAACCTTACCCATAATTTATTCCTAAAATCAGTGTGAAATGTTAGCTGATTAACAAGGGTGTAATTCCCTCAATTCTGATTGGTTAATTGGAATGTTGTTCCAGGAACATGTTGTACTTGGTGAAATCACGGTCACCATGTATGGACGGATGTATATGTATATGTGTGCATATGTATATTTTTAATTATTAATTGGTGTAGTATTATTGAATATGTTTTGAATATATTTCAATTTATTTTATGCGATAATTCAATCTCAGTATTGCTAAGCAGAAAATTAAACTTCAAACTTCATGATGTATCCCAGGAATGAGATGTTGGTTATATGGAATTCTCATTTCACTAGCTTGAGGTATAGATGGTGTTGCCTCAGCTTCTGCAGGACCTGCATAACGTGTTGGTGATGGTTGGCCAGGGCCCGGGAGTAGATCAAGATGTCATCGATGTAAATGATCACGAAGCGATGGAGGAACTCCCGGAAAATCTCATTCATGAATCCTTGGAATACTTGTAAGTATCGAATAAGGTTGTAGGCACTACGCAGATCCAGTTTGGAGAAGAAGCGACCGCCCCACAGTTGTTACAGTGCGGATTGGACCCGAGAAAGTTGATAATGGTACTTTACAGTTTGGGAATTGAGGGCTTGGTAATCGATACACGGCTGCAAGGCTCCATCCTTTTTAACTCCAAAAAAAACTGGATGCAGCAGGGGAAGTAGATGGACTAATGAAACCTTGAGCAAGAGCTTCCTCAATATACTCCTCCATGGCCTTTTTCTCCGGGATGGACAGAGGATATACCCTTCCCTTTGGTGGCCCCAGGCAGCAGGTCGATAGCGCAGTCCCATGGCCGATGAGGTGGAAGCTTGGTGGCAAGTTGTTTACTGAAGACGTCTTGGAATGCCCGGTATTCCTGGCATATCTCCACTTGATGGTGAGAATCGGGACTTTCAATGGAGGTGGAATTCACAGGGATAGAAGGCCCGGACTTGGGGAGAGTAACGGGAACTGGTAGGCTGTGAAGACATCTCTGGAGACATTGCTCACTCCAATGCAGAATTTCACTATTGTACCAGGAAATTATGGGCTGATTTTGTTCCATCCACTGCATCCCATGATAATCCACTTTTGACCCCTCCAGCACCATGAATGATATATCCTCAGAATGCAGGCAGCCAATGTGGAGCATAATGGTTGGAGTGAGGTGGGTGATGATACCTCGGCCCAACGGTTTTCCCAGAATGGTGTTAATGTTCAAAGATTGCGGGCTGGGGACTCTCTTGAGGTGGAGTCGGCGGAGAAGGCTGCTGGAGATGAGTCCCCGGGAATGATTCAATTTGCAAGCAGCAAGGTGTTGAGCAATCCAAATTGATTTTGAGATGAATCTCTCCAATCCAACGGTGTCGTCATAAATCGCCATCTGTGCCCGGATATATGGAGCAAGACCCTGCCAGTAAGACATGATTAATGCATTCTCGTTCCATCCGCTAGCAGCAGCAAGGGTCCGAAATTGTAGAGCATAATCAGCCACGGTAGAACGCCCTTGACAGAGATGGTACTGAGAGGGTGGTGGCGGCTTGTCCAAATACCTCCTTGATATGATTCATGAAATCATCCAGAGATCATGTGACCGGGGTGTTGGATTCCCACAGTGTTCTCACCCACTGCAGAGCCCTGCCAGAAAAGAGAGATATAATATAGGCATTTTTAGAGCATTCAGAGGGGAACCGGTGAGGCTGCTTCTCAAAATACAGCAAGCATTGCAAGATAAACCTGCTGCAATCTTCCACCGTGCCAGAGAACGTCGCTGGTTGGGCTATGGGACTCGCTACACCATCCAGCGACGAAGCCGATGAGGAAGTAGCCAGTTAGTTGCAACGAATGAAGAAGAAGGTGTACCAGTTCGGCAAAGGGATCAGTTTCGGGGTTAGGAGTGGCACCGCTCTCCATATGGTCTGGTCTGATTCACAGAAATGTCCAAGATGTTTATTGACGATTGGAAACAGGTAAGTATGCCGAGTAACTTAAATAGGAAACAGTTAGTGTGCTTATCTCTTGCAGTTTGGTGCTGTCAGCAGTTCATGGAGGAAGAAGACAGATGTGATGATATTCCACAAAGTATAACAGGTAAGCAGTCAGGCAGGCAATGAAGGTAGACACTGACGAGACCAGACAGGGAATGACTGTGAAGTGCGGGTATTTGAGGGCTGATTCTAATGAGTGTAACAGGTACAGATGATCAGTATTCCGGTGATTGAGATCGGGGAGGTGTGGTGATGGAGTCTGGTGCTGAGGGGTTGACAGATTCCGTGACACCCATGGTGTGACAGGAGAGGTACATGAGATTAATTCTTACATTGGGTACAGTCATGGCCAAAAGTTTTGGCAGTGACATCAATTTTGTGTTTTGCAAAGTTTGCTGCTTCAGTATTTGTAGATTATTTTTCCACATGTTTCTATGGTATACTGAAAAACAATGATAAGCATATCATAAGTTTTAAAGGCTTTTATTGGCAAAAATATAACGAGTCAGTATTTACAGTGTTGACCCTTGTTCTTCATAACCTCTGCACTTTGCTCTGGCATGCTGGATATTAGCTTCTGGGCCAAATCCTGACTGATGGCGATCCATTCTTGCCTTATTAGTTCTCGGAGTAGTCCCCTCGCATTTTGAGAACTGACCACAAATTCTGTATGGGATTGAGATCCGGGGAGTTGCCTGGCCACGGATCCAAAATTTCAATGTACTGATCATCGAGCCACTATTTTATCACTCTTGCTTTGTGACATGGTGCTCCATCATGCTGGAAAATGCACGGATCATTACCAAATTGCTCATGGATCGTTGGAAGAAGTCACTCTTGCAGGACGTTTTGATACCATTCTTTATTCATGGCAGTGTTTTGGGGCAGAATTATGAGAGAGCCCAATCCCTCGGTTGAAAAGCAACCCGACACAAGGATGGTCTCAGGATGCTTCACTGTTGGCACGACACAGGTCTCATGGTAGCGTTCACCTTTTCCAGATGTCCCAAACAATTGGAAGGGAGCTTCATCAGAGAAAATAACTTTCTGCTGTCCAATCGTTGTACTTCCTGCAGAATTTCAGTCTGTCCTTGACGTTCTTGGAAAGAAGTGGCTTCTTTGCTGCCCTTCTTGACACCAGGCCGTTGTCCAAAAAGTCTGTCCTTGACGTTTTTCTGGAGAGAAGTGGCTTCTTTGCTGCCCTTCTTGACACCAGGCCGTTGTCCAAAAGTTTTGGCCTCACTGTGTGTGCAGATGCTCTCACACCAGCATGCTGCCATTCCTGAGCAAGCTCTACACTGGTGGTGACACGATTCCTTAGCTGACTCCTCAGGAGGAGATGGTCCTGGCACTCTGGGACATTCTGAAGACTACTTCACTGCAGTCGAACCTCTCTCCTTGAAGTTCTTGATGATCCGGTAAATGGTTCTTTCAGGTGCAATATTCTTTGTAGCAATTTCCTTGCATGTGAGGCCATTTTGATGCAAAGCGATGATGGCTGCACGTGTTTCTTTGGAGGTAACCATTGCTAGCAAGAACACAGTGATTGGAAGCGCTTCTTCCCTCCTTTTATAGCAATCAGTCTGCTCTTGCAATCTAATTAGTATGATAGTGATTTTACCTGACTAGTACTCATTCACACTTTCACATGCGCTGCTGTTATGATTAGTCAATTAATTTTAGCTGGTCATTTTGTGTCAGGATAAAAAAAACAGTGAAATTTGTTTTGTTTTTGTTTTTTGTGAAAAACATTTTTTGGCCAATGAAGCTTTTAAGAATGATTTAAAATGCATCTGATCACTCTACACAATAATCTAGAAACAATGTGAATGAACACCACAACAGCTTAAGCAGCAAACTTTGCAAAACACAAAATTTATGTCACTGCCAAAACTTTTGGCCATGACTGTACTTGAGATTAAATCACCTTGTGCCTTTGAGCAAGGTACTCAACACCAGGTAGCTACACGGATACTTTTTCTATAATAATTTGTATACTGGATGCAAAGGAGATTAAATGAAACAATAAATAATTTGCATATTTGGGGTGATGCCTTTATACTGGATCTCCTTCTTGTGATTTTTGCCAGCACAAAGCTGGAATTGTGCACCTGACTCCCACACTTTCAGCCTTACCAAGCATGAATATGTTTGTATCTGTTTGTAGCATGTGTGTGTAGGCAGCTTTTCAAATGATCTTAGGTGTCTAAATCTATGATTAGAGAAGGCTCTTTGCAGGGAAGGAAGTATATTTTAAGCAAATGATGAATGAATGATATACTGTATATTTCTCCTAGCTAGAAATTTTGACTGAATGAATTAATTTTATGTGTGACTAACTGTATAACCAGGATTTAGAAGAGTTAGAAACATGGATGTTGCCTTAGCAAGTACAGCTATCTTGTCCTGACCTGGTTCAGAAGCTGAACTGTAGACTGAATCTGCAATCTACATTCTTAAAAAATTGCTTATCCAACAATGACAATTAATCATTTACTCACCCTCATGTTGTTTCAAACCTTTATGACTTACTTTACTGTGTAGGGAAAAAAGCAGTGGTCGCTATTTTGCATGCAATTGCAATAAACAGAGACATAAAAAGGACATAAAAGCAGGGTACACTCTTAAAAATAAAGGTGCTTCACGATGCCATAGAAGAACCTTTTTGTCTAAATGGTTCCATAAAGAACCTTTAACATCTGAAGAACCTTTCAGTTTCACAAAAGGTTCTTTGTGGCGAAAGATGGTTCTTCAGATTATAAAAAGGTAAGAAAGAGATGGTTCTTTAAAGAACCTTTGACTGAATGGTTCTTTGTGGAACCAAAAATGGTTCTTCTATGGCATCGCTTGAAGAACCTTTTGAAGCACCTTTATTTTTAAGAGTGTATTAGCTTGTGAGGTTTTTGTCATGTAAAACAATAGTAAATGACAATAAATTCACCTTTTTATGTTATTGATATTGTTTTTAAGTAGTAGTTTTATTATTATTATTATTATTGACACACATAAACATAAACTTCACTGGGACGTAAGCAGGTCACACAAAAACATACGCATGAGAATATATGAACTAATACAAATTAGCCACCAATTTGCCAAAGCATGAAATAGTTACGAATTGCCAAGATATTGTGTTGGTTACTGCTCCTTTTGGTGAAGCTGGTGTACTCTGCTTATTTCAAAACTGTTTCTTTTTTTCTAATGCAAGGGCATTAAATAATTATAATGTATCTCACTGACACATCATTCTAACCTAACTAAAGCCTTCACTCAACACCATAATGGCAATCCACCATCCAAAGCATTTTTGCCCCCAAGCCCTGATTAATTTCTGACCTTTGTGACAATAAAGATAACACACTATACGTATATGCTGGGATATGGCAGTTAGAATAATAGCATCAACAATACCCCTGATTTCTTCTGTTTCATTTGAAACCACTGTTAATACTCCTTTCAATAGTAAACAGAGACTTTGACTCCAGGGAGGTATATGGGTAACCTTTCGCCCTTTTCTCGTTGAACACTGTTATTAGATGAAGCTTGTCTTTCTACTCTGGGGGATTAGAGCTGTGTCTTTCTGTATCTTAGAAAAGATTTGTGTTTATGTACAAGCCAATGTTTAGCAATCATTATACAAATAAATAGGACAAAATATGAACTTTGAAGAATGAGGCTGTTAAGCTACTATGGAAGTATCATATCAGAGATACATTTCACATTACACTGATATATTTAAGCTCTTATTCTCTGACAATATTGACATCCAGGATGTCACCCAGTGGTACAGGTTTGGAACAACATGAGGGAGTAAAAAGGACAGTTTTTTTTTCTGAGTGACCTATTCTTTTAAACGTGCAATTATTTGAATATAAAATGTTCTGTTTGATCATCAGATGTCCTTCAGAGATGCAATGTAGTCGTCCTAGTTGATCTAAAACTTAAAAAAAAAAATTCCACTTTGAAGCTCCTTGAAGTTTCTGGCTAAATATGTTTCAGCACTGATTGAAATATAAGTAAAATTTTCTCTCATTTATTTTTTTCCCCTATGGACAATTACATTTAAATTACCTGCCCCAAAATGAATATCTAAATTAAGCCTCTGAATGTAAAACTATAATATTCTTCAAAATATTATCATTGATAGTTGTCTGCAGCCTTAACTCTTCCCTGTGGTATGCTGTTTTGTGTGTAATGATGGGTCAGGTCCCCTGCAGTGTGAAAGCACATAGCAATGTCTGGCAGTCAGTTCTAAGATATAGCAGCAATTAGGAAATAGAACTGACCCAGACATTCAATTCCTACTGTGAACCAGTGCCTGTGTATACATATGTGTATATAAATATGGTAGTTGCAGATTGCAGCTGCACTAGATTGTAATTTAACCTCTGTTATGCTGTTGTGAGTTAGTGAAAGCTATTTTGCTTGTAATGTCAGTTGACGTTACTGGGATGAGCAGAGGACAGGCTATTTTTGCTAAATCTCTTGGTGCATCAAGGTCAGCAAAAATTGATGTTTATGCATGCTACAGAGTATTAAGCTCTGTGTAGAATGAACTCGCACGAAGATGAAGATGAAAGTAAAAGTCTTTAATATTATCCACACAAGGTAATCCACAACAAGGCATAAGAAACACATACACGCTGACGACACCGGACAAAAAAAACACTGAACTGAATACAACTTATATGGGGAGGATAATAAAATCAAGGGGAGACAGAAACTAGGTCAATGGAACATGAGGGATCAAATGAAAACAAACACAATAGTTCATAACGGTGACAATCACATTAAAATTCCAGTTTATAATTCAGAGATTTAACTTAACTACAGTGCCTTATGATGGGGTAAGTTAAAATGCTGACTCAGTTTACCCCACAACATTTGGCTTACTTTGCCCCATAGCTGCCATATGGAAAAAATAGCTACTGTTGCTTCAGGCTAATATTTAGCTAAATTATTTGCATGGTTTTATATGTTGCTAAATCCCCTATATGTATCATAAATATTTTTGGACCTGGATCAATTTGCTTTGATGTAACAACCATATGTTATGCTAAAATTGTACTTTGACAAGCCAAAAAATGTTTTTAAAGTAAATGGGTGCCTTCCATTCTTTCAGAGTGTGCTGTCTTCTCTTTTAATTGTATATTTGTAACAACTGGATCATTTGTATTAACAAGCACCCACCCCCCTAGTGCCCCTTTCTTGGTTTGGGCCACTGCCCCTCAAAATGTCTGTGCACGGCCCTGTCTTGGTGCAGGTAACAAAGAAAAATAGCCTACAAATTGTTCATTTACTTATACCACCCGCATTGTAACAATACAGAGCTGGTTGAAAATCGGTGAACTTAACCTTTAAAGTACATTTCTTAACTGATTAACTCAGCTGGCTGTCAAGAGATACCAGTGTCAAACTGCTTCTCAAACTGTGGAAGTTGTACCAAACCTGTGCTTTGCTAGTTTTGGCACAACTTCCACAGTGATTGTCAAACAGTACTGACAATTTATTACAAATAACTCTGGAACTGAACATTCAAATTGCTCCAAATAAAAAGTTAAATGAAATGAACAAATATGTAAATGTGCTGTGAAAAAAAAAAAAAAAAAACTTTTCCGGTTTCTAGACTTATTGGGGTCACTTGCAGGTTGCCAATTTTTTACAGTGTACACAACCATATTAAGCATCACCTCTTTTTGTCTCCCTCCAGGGTGAGAGTTGTGGAACAGGGTGATGGGAGTCCAGGACTCTCTATTGCCAGGATTACGGCATGTCATGAAGCAGTCGGCTCAACTTCTGCTGCTGGTTCTACTGCTCTGGATGCTGCTTTTCCTTGCTGTCTTTACCTACTTAACTGACTCGAGTTCCCCTTTCAACTCTGAATCTCAACACTCAACCTATGTTCAGCATAGTGCCCAGGCCATCATGGCGTCCCATAATTCCCGCTGGGGTCTGTATGCAGAGAGGAGGGGTCCTTTCCAGCGCAGGCAAGTGTTTCAACCTCCTCGCACTAGAGAAGAGTTTAATTTCAGGAATTCTGATGAACGTCCTAAAAAAGTGACTCCTAACAGTAACTACAGTAATGACTATTTTTCCAATGGCTGGTCGCTGGTTCGTGGTCTGTGGAAGGGACAAGTGTCCTCCAAAATGCTAAGCCAACGACTACGGCGAGCCATGAGGGACCATGCTCACTCTAATAAGCACAAAGTTCTCTACAAAGGCCAACAAAAGACAACCAAGAGTAGACAGGAGATGCTGTGTCAGATGAAACAGCAAGCAAAACTCAGGACTCTGGATGGCTCTGAACAGCCCTTTTCTCACCTAGGTTTTCAACAGCTGGCTCCTCATAAATTGCAGCAGATGTACACAACATGTGCTGTGGTGACTTCAGCAGGGGCAATACTTGACTCATCACTGGGACGTGAAATTGGTGAGTTTGCTAGGGATAATATGCATATACTATATACACCAGTGGTCAAAAGTTTGGAATAAGATTGTTTTTACCTTTTTTTTGTTGAAAGAAGTCTCTTACAATCACCAAGGCTCCATGTATTTGTTTAAAAAAAACAGTATTACTGTGAAATATTAGTACAATATAAGCTAAATATATTTATTGTAATAATTTAAAGTTTTTCAGCAGCCATTACTCCAGTCAATCTCACATGATCCTTCAGAAATCATTCTAATATCCCGATTTGGATGCACAAGGATGCATTAAATTGATCAAAAGTGACACACCGTCTGTACAGACATTACATTTCATTCAGCCTGAGGCTTATTCATTTCACTTTTGGCTTGAAGGGGCTTTTACATCTGCCAAAAATAGAATTTTTTATATTAAAAACAAACAAGCAAACCCAGCCCAGAATTAAAAAGAGACGCAATGGCAACAAAATGCATTACTTTCCATAAAAAGTAACTCAGTAACGTAATTAGTTGCTTTTTTAGGGAGTAACACAATATTGTAATGCATTACTTTTAAAAGTAACTTTCCCCAACACTGATAGACAATACAGAACTGTATCACAAATAAAATTATAGAGGTACATATAGGAGACCTAAATCAAATATTATTGTGTTCCCATGCTCCAACAGCAAAAAATAAAAATAAATAAATAAATAAAAATCCTCTATTGTGTTCTCATGTCATTCCAAAAGAGGATAAAATGAAGAGAGATGCATTACAGCAGTCAGAAATAAAGAAATATGTCAGTCTCTCCCTCAGCAGCTGTATTAAAAACCCCATGACAACAATATTGACTGTTGACAATATAAGATCCATCCATACATTTTATATGTATATTTTTTATATTTGTAATTATATATATATAATTAAAATACCAAAAATAAAATACAATTATAATATTTTCAATATTGAATACTGTCTTTGCTCTTTAATTTTGTGAGTGTTACGAATCCTGTCCATGGACTTCTGTCCAATCGCCACCAGAAGTCACTCGTCCATCATATTGACTCTCTCACTACACAGACTGTTAGACGTCACCACGGACTACATTTCCCATCATCCATTGCACTGATTGCACACAGCTGTAACCAATCACACACACACACTATATTACACTCACTCAGATCCTTCTCAAACTGCTGAGTATTGTTTAGCGCATATCACTCTTTTAGCGATAGCTGCATTACGGAGCCAGTCCTAGTTCCCGTTCCTCGTTCTAGTCTTAGTCTAGCCACTTCGTGTTGCCTTGTTGTCTGTTTCCTGTGTTTCTTGGATTAACCCTTTGTCTTGCTGTTTTGGACTGTGTTTGCACCTTGCCTGGACTATTATTGCTCGTGTTATTGGAGTACCCCTCTTGTCGATCGAAGACCCACACTAGCCCTAGGAATATTCTTTGTCTTGGCTGTGATATACCTGTGTTATCTGACCCTTGCCTGTTTATTGACCACGCCTTTGTAAATAAAGCCTTGCACATGCATCCGCACGTCTCGTTCGCCCCGTAACAGTGAGAGTTGTAACATTTTTTCAGCGTTCTTTGGTGCATATAAAGTTCAAAAGAAGAGCATTTATTTGAAATAGAAATCTTTTGTAACACAGCAAAGCTCAAACGAACCTTTCAACTGAAGAATAGGACACAGAATAAGAAAGTTCAACACTCATCAGCAATAAAAAAGAAAAAAGAAAAATAAATGTTTATTTAAAGTCATTTTTGCTTAGTATGGTTTAAATGGCTCATCGAAGGTCAGCAGCAAAGACATTGGCTAATAAAATGGGATTAAATATATAAAGGATATTTGTATTATTTAACGTATTTAATTATTGCAGGTTTGCGCCATATTCTGAGTTTGCATTTCATGGTTTTTATTAATTTTGAGTAATACTGAATCTGTTTTTGTGCAAATGAGATGAGCAAATGCGTGTTCACATTTATTCTAGAACTACAGTAAACATGTTTACACAGCGCTATAACGAAAATAAGCTCTGTGACCAAAAAAGTTTATTATATTTACACATTTTGTTCATCAAGATAATGTTCACAAATTAACACAACTTTTGTGAATTTTGAAGCCTAAATACAATCAGCAGAAGTAAAAAGTTAAAGATAGACTATAAACAAACTACACCACAGTCGCATGACTTCACCACTACCAACGTCACCACCACAAAGCTTGTGACAACTCTTCCAGTCTTCATTTAAAATAACCTATACACGTTGGAAAATTGGAGTTAGAATAGTTTGCAAGAGTGAGATAAGGCATTCAGGTTTTAACCAAAAACCAGTTCAAAAAATATATTGACTTCAGGACAATGGAATCGTAAGTGCTAACTGCTAACTCGTTTCCGGATTTTAGGACTCATTTCTGCAGCACTCAGTAGTTTACTTTGTCTTCCAAACCTGGAAATGAGAAAAGGGACACAACATAAAGTCCATTTTCAAGTTCAATGTATTCTTTAGTTTATATACAGTTATATGCAGAAGTCCTTCAGAGAAATGTGTCATGCAATGCCCCCAACCACGCATCTGCAAATTTCAGATTCAAAACTGTGGGGCGAGATTGTGTTTAATAATAGATTACAGTACATAGCCTATTATAATCGTGGAATTTATTTATTACATATTTTAAAGTTAAAATATTTATTTTAACTTAAAATTTTAGCTAAAAAAAAAATCTGTGTAACATCTAATTACACACAAAAAAATTTTGTAAAATTGTTTTCATTTATTTATTTATTTTTTTTATTAGACTTTTTAGTAGCCAAACAGGCACTTTCCTGTCTTGTTTTGATGGTTGCTCTCTCTTCCACTTCTTCAACTCAATTCATCGCCACTCTTTTTTCTTTTTCCTCGTTAGACTTTGATTTGGTCTGCTTTTGAATAGCGACATTGATGCACAAGGCCTAATTGTTGAATGTGTTGGAACATGAATAGCACAGCTGACAGCCAATGGCAGATAAGCATTAGAGCAGTGCTCCCTGTTCTCCAGAAGCCCTTGCATTGCCCTGTTTCATTGTTAGAAAGAACGAAAGCACTGCTGCTGGAAGCCGCACCGTGTATTTGCATGTTTTTGTTTATTTGTGGGAGTCTTAAACGACTTTCTGTGACATTGAAACTTGTGTCTTAGACACTTACAGCAGTAGTTTGTGTAGTAAACTCAAAATATATTACATTTATAAATTCAAACCACACAAATTTCTTTGTTGAAAGGTTTATTTGATTATTTGCAGGTTTTTATTACTAACAAATGAAGCGAAAGTTTGGAAAGTGAGTCTAGATAAAATGGTTCCTGTTGCTAGATGTTAGTGAATTGTAATTTGCTACCTTCTAGTGGTGATTGAATGTTTTGCATGTAAAAAGACATTGATGGAAGAAGATCATCATAATGCACAGTATAGAGATGCTTTGATTATTTAGGTCTATGAATAAGGAATTACTCGGTTTGCTAGGGATATAGCAAAGGTAAAATCCAGTATACCTGTACAACAGGCTCCTGTCTGTTAGGAGTTTATTCTGGAAGCATTTGCCTTACGACACTAGAGGGAGCAATATCTTACAATATTAGCTTGGCCATAACAGTTTTTGCAGACTGGTTCAATTAATGAGCACAAGTTCCTTTTCCTTTTTCTTTTTTTAATAATAATAATAATAATAATTTTCTAATCAATAGAGTAAACAATCAACAACTGAATATATAAAAGTATAATCAGAGTTTCCACTGTGACAACACTGGAGGGAGCACATTGGAGCATATTGTCACAAAAGGTCACCACATGTTCTAGCTTATAAAACTTGACTGGTCTTTTTGATTGACTGCTGTTTTTGCCATTTTAGATTCCCATGATGCAGTGCTGCGTTTCAATGCTGCACCCTGCAAGGGCTATGAAAGAGACGTGGGCAGCAAGACAACCATTCGAATCATGAACTCTCAGGTTAGGGTCATTTGCATTGTGTTTCCCTGTGTGCAAGGACTAAATAGAGATGTTTTCTTCTCTTTTATCAGATTCTAGCAAACCCCAAACACAAATTCAACAGCAGTTTGCTCTATAAGAACATTACCTTGGTAGCCTGGGATCCTGCTCCTTATAACATTGACCTGCATAAGGTATGAAAGTTACATCATAGTAAATCAGTCAGAAACGTAATACCATTCAACCCTGTTAAACTTTGCTTATGTAGTTTTCTAGATAGTTTTCTTTCTTGAGATATATATTTGGCGAGGCAGATAACCCTTAACGCTGCACCTCACGATAAAAAAAACTAAACAAAAAAAACTTAATTATAATAAAAAAAACTCCATAACAGCTGTAAAAAGTGAGTCACATTTCACAAAAACACTCTGCCATCTTTTAACCGTCTTGGGCCTTGATAATCCTCCACTGAAATAATCTTTATGGAACTGGCTCCCTGGTCACGACATGGCACGGCACTAACTTCTGTGCTCACACACTGCACTCTTCTTCACTCCTTCTCTCCATGTGTCCGTAATGCTAGAAACAGACTACCTGTCATATTAAAAGTCTCCTGACCTGCAGACCTGTATGAATATACACCTACAGTATATACAGTTTTGGGCTAGTGACAAAAATAATAAATGTACACAAAGAAAAAATAAACTTAAAAGTATTATTTTAAAATTATTTTATTATTAATATAATAATATATAATATATAATTACACCAGGGTGACTTCCTGTTTCACATGAGTATAAATATGAGGGAACACAAAGGACCAAATTCCTTTAAAATGAGTAAAACCAAAGAATATTGTTCTAATGTGCAGCAATAGACTTTTGAGCTTCACAAATTAGAAAGGTGCAGTAGGAAAAATAGCTAAAGCATTGAACATTTCCATTTCCACCATCAGGGCAATAATTAAGAAGTTACAATCAACAGGAAATGTTACGAATTTGCCTGGATGGGGACGTTTGTCTAAATTGTCTTAAAGCAAGGTGAGGAGGATAGTTTGAGTGGCCAAAGACTCTCCAAATATCACAGCTGGAGAATTGCAGAAAATAGTCTCGGGGGTCAAAAAAATAAATAATCAAATAGCACCTACATAACCACAAGTTGTTTGGGAGGGTTTCAAGAAAAGAAAAAATCCTCCGCTATAATCCGAAAACAAACTCCAGCATATTGAGCTGCCAGACACTACTGGAACTTAAAATGGGACTGGGTTCTATTGGTTCTTTGCTTTTTCCCATACAGGTATGGATTTCACAGATATAAAAATATATGTCAGATACTTGCACATACATGCAACATATATTTCAAAATAAAACAAAAATGTCAGTTTTCAGATATGTAACAAATATTTTCCAAAATACACACATATATGGCACATATATGCCTATAGAATATATGTGAATATATGTGGCACATATATGCATATAGAACATTTAGCAGCAAACACTCAAGATGGGCTTGATGCACAAAGGGATAAAAAAAAAAAAGTATCCCATGTCCACAGTTAAATATACTGCTGTATATTTAATGTTGTGGGCCTATTTTTCTGCTGGAGGTCCTGGACGTCTTGTTCTGATAGATGGCATGATGGATTCTATCAGATAACAACAGATAAAAAATTTAAACCTGACTGTCCCTGCTAGAAATGGGCCATGGATGGATCTTCCAGCACAACAATGATTTATTTTTTAGAAGAGGTATATTCAAGTAATTACATTAATGACTTTGAATTTTTGAATGAACTTTGAATGAATTTTTAAATATATAAATAAATCAATACAAATTTTGCAGTATCTCACTGACCCTTTAATAAAACATGAAACAAAGCATAAGCCTAGTCCAAGTTTCAAATGCATGTTTTAGCTATCTTAACTGCAAGCAACTTGCCCTGGCATATCTTTGCATTTGATTTGTATCAAGATGTACACCAGTAATGGTTTTATTTATTTATTTTGTAAGACACATACAGTATATATATATATATATATATATATATATACTTAAATGTCCTAATTAAACTAAGGCTTAATTTATGCCCTGTCTTTGAAACCAGGCCTAAGTGCCTAAAGTGACTTTATAGTTAACATAATATTTTCCTGTTTTCTCAATACCCACAGTGGTACCAGCATCCAGATTATGACCTGTTTACTCCATACATAAATCACAGGAACAATTTCCCTGAGCAGCCCTTTTATATCCTGCATCCTTCATTTATCTGGAAACTCTGGGATATTGTGCAAAGCAACACACTGGAGAACATTCAACCCAACCCTCCTTCCTCAGGATTTATAGGTATAAATACTCTTCATCATTAACACGAGCACATATATCTGTCCATTTTTTGATCCTTGCGCTCAGGAAAATTGTTGTGCCACATGTTGTGACGGTAATTTCTGAGAGATTTGCCATGCTGTGCAGTTGACGCACATATTCAACCCTAATTTAAGCGAGATCAAATGTCTCTCTGCCTACTTTTCCAGCGTATCTGCTGAATTACAAATGATAATCATGTCTGTTTGTATTCACTGTTCCTCTTGAATTCATTTTTGACTGAAGAGTGCAGGATGTGTGTGTGTGCGTGTGTGTGTGTGCAAATGCTGAAATGTGTTACTAGGTAATATCAATTTGATAGATGCAAGTTCGGGGGCATGACGGGATTATTTCAATCGGGCAGGGACTTCATGTGGAAAAAAGCAAACTCTCCGTTACATTTCTAGAGGATACTTACCTTGACGCAGGCCAATGGCTAACTGGCTGCCTGAGTGCCCAGGGCAGCATAGAGCCAATAAATGTGCGTGCAAACACACACATACACACTCTTTCTTGCTGTCTCCCTTGTGAGTTCTTTGCTGAATTTTGATGAATGAATGAAGGTTTGGCTTAAAACTCAAGATCTAAAAGAGACAGACAAGCAAATTAATAAAGGTTGAGGACTTATGCCAATATATATAGAGTATAATTTTGGGTAGTTGGTTTATTTTCTTGTGTGATTGACATATAATCAAGGTCTGTGTGAATCAGAGCTGTTAATACAAGTTGATGGCTCTCAAACAGACAATGAACATTCATAAAACCTATCAAACATCATTATGTGCTATCAAGGCACAATCCAATATCTGCTACTAAGAGAGCACTACAACAACCTCCAATGTAGAAATGTTATTCTTTAACAAACATCAGTGTTTTGAGTGAGTGATTGTGGATTGTACCTTTAACTAGGGTGACCATACGTGCCATTTTCCCAGGATGCGTC